AATATTATTTCCTTCTTGGGTCTCTGAGGGAGTTGAAGACTGGACAGTTATAGTTATAATTTCCCTTGTTTGCCAGACTCATAAAAGAAACTCACTAAGATGTGTAAAGTATGTAAATTTGAGAGATATCAAAAGATATTGTTGAATGGTAGTGCAAGTTATGATAGAAAATGAACTAGGTACAAGATTTTGTACTTACCAAGGTAGGATAGATAACAGAGTATTTTTCTGAACTTGTCAAATGCAAATGAACTAGATGTATTAATTGTACTTATTGTATATAGTTTTTCTTTTATTAGTTTCAGCCTTCTTTTTTTTTTATTTTACACAAGAAGGGGAAATGTAATGATATTTTATTTGTAATCTTACAAATGAAGCTTGCCAGAAGATCAGAGTAGAGAACTAAGCCACTAGCTAGCCATAGAGACCAGGCAGTGGTGGCACACACCTTTAATCCCAGAACTTGGAAGACAGAGGCAGACAGATTTCTGTGCATTCAAAGCTACCCTGGGCTATATTGTTTACGGAGGCCAGACAAGGACAGAGGGACCTCCCATACCACTACATGAGACTGAATCTGTCTAAAAGAGAAATAGAGCTCACACAAAGGTGATCCCAGCACTTGGGACCACATGCCTTTAATCCCAGTACTAGGGAGGTAAAGACAGGAGTGATATGGCTTGGTGGAGAGAGGAATATTAGGTGGAAGGAGACAGGAGATAGCATGCAGTCTGAGAATTCAGTTTGAGCATGTAGTCTGATAATTGGTAGAGACAGAATCACCCCTTTAGTCTGAGCATTGGTAGAGGTAAGAACTCTCTAGTGGTTGGCTGATCTGCTTCTCTAATCCTTCAGCTTTCACTCCTGATAGCTGACTCCAAGTTTTATTATTTAGAATAATCAGAATTTGTATTACAGAAGCTCTCTGGTTGACTGGCCAGTCAGCTCCCCAATCCTGTCTCTGCCTCCCAGCTCTGGGATTACAGGTATGTGTTGCCACATCAGACTTTTCATGTGATATCTTGGGATGTAAACATAGGTACTTATGCTTGTTCAACAAGCATGCTATTCACAGAACCCCTTACTTTCTATTGATGTTATAGAATTTTTGCTACTACCATCTCCTAAATATAAGACATTTGATAGCAGAAGCCACAACTGGTCATTCTTGTACAATGTTCAGTCTAAAGGACAGTTACATTTTATAATGTTAATCATGTTCATCCAGCATCCTCTCCCTCCAGCTACCCTAGTGCCTCCCACCATGTCTTTTTCCCAATTTCATGTTCTTAAAATCCAAAAACCTGATATTAATAATCAATAACCCCTGAGCCCATCAGTGCTGCCCTCATGCACATGCATGTAGGGTTAGTCACAGGCAATCTACCCTGTCCCTCAGGAGTCATCAGCTGCCAAATCTTCTCCACTAGGAATAAAGACAAAACTATACCATTTAATTAAATGTATTATTTCAAGACCATCAATATAAACTGGCCTGTGGGTTACAACATGACAATTCTGACATGGGTATGAAGTTCTGGTAAGAGGCAGATATAGGGTATTATTTCTCTTTTTCCTTCTTCTCTTTTCCCACCCTCCACATCTTCTCAAAGAAATGAAAGTAAATAAAATGGAAATAATAAGAAAGAGGAGCCAGTGTAAAAGGCCAAACCTCTCCTTCCACAAGGGCAGAATGCAATAGCAGCTGATGTGTCTGGTTGCTTGCACTGCCTGAAGAAATCCTCACCACTTTCAAGACAGCACTAGAAGCCAGGACCCTGCCCGAGTGTGAACTGACTGAACAATCTTGGCTCTCCCCTCACTTATTCCTCAGAGCCTTCTGGACTGATTCTGGGATGAGTCGGGGTTGGGAAGAACAGAGATGAAGGAAAGCAGTGGTTCTTGATTATTACATTGCCATTACAGTGCCAAAGAACTCTCAACAGTCTACTAAAGTTTAAGAACTCTTAACAGCTTCCAAAGTGTTTAAAAATCATGTTGTCAATTTTTACTTTTAATATATACTTTATACTTTGAAATAAAGACTCAGAGGAAGTTGCAAAAGTACTGTGTAAAATTCCTTTATGAACATCACCCAATTTCACCTGATACTGTTTTATGTATATGACATATACATTCCAAATGTATAGGACATTCCAAAATGTGGTCATTACAGTTGTTAAACCTCTCTGATCTCATTCAGATTTCACCAACGTTTGTGTGCACACATATTTGTATTTGTATGTTGTTACAAGTGGAGGGGGGCCCTTGTTTGTCCCAGCCGCCCGGATAGCTTACACCCAAAATAACCATACAGAAACTTTATTAATTAAAACACTGCTTGGCCATTAGCTCTAACTTCTTTTTGGCTAACTCTTCCATATTAGTTTAACCCATCTCCATTAATCTGTGTATCACCACATGCCAGTGGCTTACTGGAGATTCTAACCGGCGTCCATCTCAGGCAGAAGATCCATGGCTTTTTTCACTCTGCCCTTCTTCCCAACATTCAGTTCTGTCTTCTCTGCCTTCCTAAGTTCTTCCCTGTCAGGCCCAAAGCAGTTTCTTTATTCATTAACCAATGAAAGCAACACATGAACAGAAAAACCTCCTACACCAGTATGTAGTTCTATTAATCTCTCTCTCATGTGGAGACCCATGCAGTCACTGCTTCACTCAATACAGAAATGTGGCCCATCAGTACCAGGTGGGAACTTCCTTGCACCTGCTTTTATATACGTTCAGCTGATACCTCCTGGAAACCATTGTTTCCAACCATGTAATATTATGTGGAGAATGTTATATAAATGTCACCTGTAATCTTTAATGGATTTTTTGCCTTTCCCCAAAGCATAAGGTCATCAACTTGGAACAGTAATGTGAGCAATATACAAGACTAAGTCCTTTATGAAGACACAAAATTCTCAAAATAGTTCTAGTGTGTATGTATTAGTAATTCACATTATTCTCATGTTTGAAAATAATCCAGCAGACATCCCCAACCTTTTGACACTGACACATTGTCATTTGCAAAGTTCATGCTAAAGAATCATGCAATCAAGTTTAAAAACTCTTTTAACTTGAACCATATTTATAGCTATCCTGGACTGTATGTAGCCTGTAGACCATGAGTTAGATACACCCAAATGGTCCTTGATTTAATTTACAGCAATTTCAAACACAGTCTATGAAGACCCTGAACTCCCAATTGACCAGGCCTGACCAGTTTTCTTCAGCCTCTTTGGAACAGTCTCTGTCTCTGTGTGACTAAGTCTTGTTAAGCTCTTTTCTGCCTCATGGCTTTCACGTCTGGTATTTTTCTTCCTGGAACACTGCATTCAGATTTTCAGTGGCTGGCTCTTTTTTCCTTTTTAGTATCATCTAAAACTTAGTCTTCTCAGAGAGGCTTTTTTTACACTCACAATTATAACACAAAGCTTCTAAATATGGGCTTGTGAGATTCAGTAAAAATACAAGATGCCTAGTAAAGTAGACTCTGGCTAAACTTTTGGCCCTTGTTCACTGTAATATCTGGGATGTATGCATACTAAAACTTGTTGTGATTTGTCTGAAACTCAAATTTAATGGGATGTTCTGTAGTCCAGAAATCCAGCTGTGGTAATATTTTGTTATCTCTCTGGGCTATTCATTTTAAAAATTCTATTTACTTTCTTACTTCCTGAGCACTACTCAAGTCCTCCTTCTGTGTTCACAACTGTTTGTCTAGTACTGGTCACTGCCCTGCACAAGCTCAAAAAATGTTTGTTAGAAGAGTAAGGAAAATACAATCTGGAACAGACTGACCACACCTCCAGGGCAAATTGCTGGGCAGAAAGGAGAGAGAATGCCCAATTTAAGTAATTCAACAGCACTGTGCAGAGGCATCTAAGAAAGGTGCAGTTGAAGCGGGAAGGGCGCGGTGTTACTCACCCTTCAGACGCGTTCTCATGGAGCCTGAAGACTCTGGATGCACAGATTTGAGGAGGAGCAAAATCGAGACTACCAAAAAAGCCTTTTTTTGATCAGTCTTCTAACAAACTGCAGTAAGTAACTAAAAAGAAAATCTGTTTGAGTGAAAAGAACAAGTCTGAACTCTGAATAGGGTCACAGGCAGTGGGCATCCTCCCATCTCTGTCCAAGGGGAACGTCCTGCAACTTTAAGGATTAGCTTTATTGTCAGATTCTGGGAACTGTTAGATCCTAATTATAAGGAAAGTCGCCGCACATGCGAACAAAGAGCCTGGAGGGTGGATGGTGATGAAGTTAAGACAGAAGAAATCAAACTCGCCTCTTGAGCCCGGGATGCCCAACACGGTGGAGGCAGCCTTTAGAGAGGTTAACTGCACGCACAGCTCCCTGAGGTACCCACCAGGGGCACACAGACTTCACTTGGATGCACTTCATCTGATCCATTCGTCCTAAAGTCAGCTGTGTGTGCGCGCGACTGTAGATCCATACTAAGTCAAGCCAGCTCCAGGCCCTACGCAGCTCCACCCGTCTCCTGCCTGCCCTCCCACCTAGGAGCGAGAGGATGATCCTGGGCACCTTAGTCTGGGCTGCTGTTACCCAGCTTCTATGACAAGACGCGCCCTGTCGTGTGAACCACGTGCGCGCCCAATTTGGAGGCAACAGCCTATGCCACTGACAGGTGCTGGCCCGAGGGCGCGGGTGTGGTCCCCTGTACAGCCTCCGCCGGGTGCTCGCAGCTTCCCGAGCTTCTAACCGGCACGCACAGGGAGCCAGGGCGCGGCCTGGAGGCACTCGGTGGACTGGAGCGGCGGAGTTCAGTGCTCGAAACTTTGCAGGTGCCGCGGGCGCTCGGGGACGGCGCCAATCCAACCGGGCAGGTGCAGCGGACGGAGGAGGTGACGCCCCGCGGCCCCAGGGCCTCGGCCGCAGCCGCTTTGCTCCCAGCTAGCCTGAAGCCGCTGGGCACTCCTGGCTTGTGCTGCTGCGCCGGTCACGGACGCTGCCACCGCCGCCTCCACACTCCCAGAGGAGGCGCAGCCAGAGAGGGCAGAGGAGAGCCAGGAGGAGGCCACAGGAGGTTCCTGGGGTGCGGGATGGAGCCCCGGGCAGCCACTGCTGGCGAACACGAGCCCGCCGCGTCCCCCTCTTTTCAGGCCCGGCTCTGGAAGAACCTGCAGCTGGGGGTGGGCAAGGGTAAGGGCGGCGGGGGCGGTCGCACCGGGGGGCCCGAGCGCCGCACTGCGACCCCATCCCCGCAGCCCCCAAGGGCCACCCATGACGCACTGGCCGGTGTGGGGAATACCGGCAGCAGGTGGAGCGGCTTCAAGAAGCGGAAGCAAGTGCTAGACCGGGTGTTCTCCTCCTCGCAGCCCAACCTGTGCTGCTCCTCGCCGGAGGCCCTGGAGCCGGTTGGAGCAGGCAGAGCCGAGCAGGGGTCCACGCTGCGCCGCCGCCTCCGCGAACATCTGCTGCCCGTGGCTAAGGGGCCCGCGACGGCCGCGGGGCCAACTGGAGTGACGCCTCCTGGCGGACACTCTCCAGACTCAGTTCCTTCTTCCGCCTCATCCTCTCTGTCCTCTTCTCCCCAACCGCCCGCGAGGGGGAACCGCGTCCGAGATGAAGGCGCACGGCGTGGAGGTTCTGGGGTGCACCTGTGCCACCAAAAGAGCTCCTCTCTTCCCGGCACCGCGTGCCTGGAGCAGTTGTTGGAACCGGCGCCACCTCCCGTAGAAGCCGCACGGGGTCCCGCCAAGCCGCAGGCTCTGCTTAAGGGCGAAGAACGCAGCCAGGTGAGTACAAGGTGGCGCGACCATGGGACAAGCTTATGGGCCATCCCTCCAGCTTCAGACTACCCTTCCCTAAAGAGGGTTCCGGCGTGTGTGCGCATGTGGGAGACCCAGCAAAGGAAACATTTTACTCCCGTTTATTAGCGGCTGAGTCTAGTCTTGACTTTGATTAGAATAACCCCTGTCTCCAAAAACAGTTTGAGTAGCTTAATGAAGTTAGCATGGGTGTTTTTTTGGAGGTATCCTGCAACATGCCCGATTAAGCATTTTCTTGACAGACAGACAGACAGACAGACACACACACACACACACACGCAGTAACCTCCAAAATTTAGGAAAGGAAATGCAACCATGGGTGGCGTTGTGGAAGGGGCATCATCTGAAGCAAATGGCTGCAGTGGACATAGGAGTGCAGAAACGTGAAGTCATGGCTTAGATTAAAATTTATCGCAGAAGTTCGCTAACTTCTTGATATTCTCTTGTCGAAACTTTCTCTTTTTATATTTTCTTTTCTTTTTAAAAAGGAAAACGAACTGCCTTCTTTCATTTTACATACCAATCCCAGTTCCCACTTCCTCCCCTCCTCCCATTCCCTACCCCATCCCCATCCACTTCTCAGAGAGGGTTAGGCACATTGCTTTGGGGGGAGGTCCAAGGCCCTCTCTACTATATGTAGGCTAAGCAAGGTATATCCATCCAAAGAGAATAGGTTCCCAAAAGCCAGCACAAGCACTAGGGATAAATCGTGGTGCCACTGCCAGTGGCCCCACAGTCTGCTCCAGCCATACAACTGTCAACCAAATTCAGAGGGACTAGTTTGGACCTATGCTGGTTCCTTCCCTAGCCTGCTGGAGTTGGTGAGCTCCCATTAGCTCAGGCAAACTGTTTTAGTGGGTGAACCCATCTTGGTCTTGACCTCTTTGCTTATATTCTCATTCCTTCCACTCTTCAACTGGACCACGGGAGCTCAGTGCAGTGCTCGGCTGTGGGTCTCTGCCTCTGTTTTCATTAGTTGCTGGATGAAGTAGATCACTGTGGTATAGAGGACAGCAGGACACGCTATTCAAGTAGATACTTTCCTATGTTCTAAAGTTTAGCAGTCATCAAAGCATGTGCTTCTTTTAAACATGCTACGTCCCATATCCTGCTGACTACTCAGACGAGTTTTTCGCGTGTTCTAATAGTCATTTTAGGTCACTAGGTGACTTCGTTTACGCCTACTGTTTTTAAGAAGGATCTTTCCTTTTTATAAATGTCTATTAAATCATATTCATGGTGGAAAATATTTCAAATATTCAATTCTACAAAGGGGCCTTAATTGTTTTCTCTTAGTATGTGTTACCTAATTAACTCTCATTATAATAATTGTGCTCATGTTAAGTGAATGATATTACATTAAAACTTGAAGTAAATCAATAGCCAGCTTAAACAAAATCAACCAATTGTTGAAATTTACCCTTTGATTATATGAGTCAAGAGCTCAGAATAACTATATAGCTTATTTACTATTTTCTTAGTGTAGTTTCTGAAAAAAGGGGCCAGAAATCAATCTAATCCATCTTCTTTTCTGATTAGCAAACATTTGATGTTCTAGAGAAAGCTTCTTATGTCAGATTATATATACACAACTGGAAGAGAAAGACCGAATAACTTCATCTTTTATTGTCTTGAAACAGACCTGAATAGAACGTTTTCTTTTTTATTTCAAAAGCAAAGTGGAAGTATTTTTTAAATGATTTAAAAAAATGTGTCTGTATCAATCAGGATTCTCTAGAGGAACAGAATTTATAGGATGAATAAAGGGAATTGAATCGTTTACAGGCTGTGGTCTAATCAACAATGACTGCCTATTAGCAAAAGGTCCAAGAATCCAGGAGCTGCTCTTCAGTATATGCCAGAATCCCAAGGTAGACCATCATGCCAGTGGGGATGGATGTGCTAGCAGGAGTGAGAACAAGCAGGCTAAAAGAGAGAGCCTCCTTCCTGCATGTCCTTTACATAGGCTGCCAGCAGGTGTGACCCAGATTAAAGGCGAATCTTCCCATTTGAAAGATCTAGATTAGACCCACATTGGAGCACTGGACTGAAATCTCAAGGTCCAAACCAGGAGCAGAAGGAGAGAGAGCACGAGCAAGGAACTCAGGACCGCGAGGTGTGCACCCACATACTGAGACAATGGGGATGTTCTATCGGGAACTCACCAAGGCCAGCTGGCCTGGGTCTGAAAAAGCCTGGGATAAAACCGGACTCACTGAACATAGCGGACAATGAGGACTACTGAGAACTCAAGAACAATGGCAATGGGTTTTTGATCCTACTGCACGTACTGGCTTTGGGGGAGCCTAGGCAGTTTGGATGCTCACTACTAGACCTGGATGGAGGTGGATAGTCCTTGGACTTCCCACAGGGCTGAAGAGGGAGAGGGAGGGGGACTTGGTTGGGGAAGGAGGAGGGAAATGGGAGGCCTCTGCGGGGAAGAGACAGAAATCTTTAATAAATAAATAAATTAAAAAAATAATAAAAAAGAAAGATCTAGATTAGAAGTAGTTCTTCTCATTTCAAAGGATTTAATTTAAAAAAGAGCCCTCAAAGATGTGCCCAGTCATTCCAGTTTTAGTTAATCCCAGGTGTGGTCAAGTTGACAGCAAGAATAGTGTAGAAATATTATGAGTTAAAGGAAATGTTTTTGAGTTCCTATATAGTCCTAATGTACACTTATTTTAGTGTTAAGAGATTTGTTTGATATTCACATTTCCCAACTATTAGAGCACACATAATAATAGAATTATTTAGAAGGTACCTATCATGTTATGGTGAAAGTTAATTTGTTAAGTTATTTTGCAGTGTATGGATGTGCAAATATCTCCAAATCAAAGACAGAACAGAATTTACCTTTGTGTTCCTCCCCCTTGCTAAAATTCCAAACAGTTTTGAAACCATCAACTTTCCTTTAAATCCTGGCATGTTTTTTTGTGTGGGGAAGATCTAAGCTGTTTTTGGAGACCGTACTGAAGTAACATTATTGTGTGTGATTCCACCCATGCTGGGCACTCCAGAGCATGGCAAGATCCAGCACTCACTGCAGTCCTGCAGAAGTTCTGCTTGGTTTATGAATTAGAAGCTAATGTCCCAAGAAGTTAAGCGACCTTTCCAGGATGGATGTGCGGTTAGTAAGCATCACAGAGATGTGCACTTGGGTCAGTTTTCAGTCTTTCCCACAATTCTCTCTGTTTCTGAACCTCTGAACCTCAACTTTGGGGATGACTTTGATCTGTTTAATCTAGAGGCATACAAGTTTGCATGTGTTGTAACATGCCCCGTCCTCGCCATATTCATTTCTGCTGCATTGCTGCACATCCTACTAACTCAAAATCACATGTCAATCATTTTATGTTTCTAAAAAAGGTTTTTATTATAGGGAACCAATATTTTAATGTAGACATCAGAGGACCATTATAAAATTTGTAGTAAAGTTAAAAAATTAATAGATAAATGTAGACAGAACAAACAGACCTAAGGGGATGGCCAGGAACAGGTTGTCCGCAGCCTCTGCTGCTCCTGGGGCCTTGTTCTTCCCACAATGGAGAGCGTCCTCTACTGTGGCTTGCTGCTGTGTTTCCTAAACTCCGACGAGTGAAGAAGAGAGTAGTGGGTAATCTTTAAATGCCTTTTTGTTCAGCTGAAGAACTGAGACCACCTCCAAAGAGGGACAAGAAGAAAAGGAATTGAAACTTGGAACTGAATTTATCAGGTGCCCAGAGGCAGGCTTCGGTTTGCAGCACCCTACTTTCCAAGTGCATCTCAGGAGCTTGCCTTGCTCACAGCCTCTCTTCTCATCCCAAGACACCTGGGCACTGGGAGGAGTTTACAGCACATGAAGCCTTATTTACTGGTCACCAGCACAGAGGGGCACACATAGAAGATAAGACAGTAAAAGCATTTATTATCATGTTATGATTATCACTGTACAAAAAGGCAGCAAACAAATACCACAATTCATTGGAAAATTCTTGAAAATTTGTTTTATTCTTTGCTTGTTTCTGGCATCAACCATGTTCTTCAACACACTTCCCATTTTTCCACCCCCAGACCAGCATGAGGTCCCAACAACATATGTGCCTACATTCTGACACTAGGTAGAGATGTTAAGCAAAAGTAAGGAAATGGATTTGACTGCTGAGAGGAAGATTTAGAAGTCACATATACACTGATTAAACTTAACGAACTGCTGCCTCCCATGTAGTCTTCTCATTATCTTTTCTTTAACCAAGCCACTTTTGAAAAACACTAGCAAATGAACGATGCCTCCTCCTTGTGTATTGTTTCAAATGTTCTGCTTAGACAGACAGACATGAAGAAAAACTTTTTATCATGCTGACTCTTGTTCACGTTTGAAGACATATTGTCGTAACAGATGCATCCCATTTTCTAGAACACAGTTGGGAGAGATGCTGTCTCAATTTGTGTGCCCATCAAAAGTATGCCAATTTTATGTATTCTGTGTTGATGAGTTACTAAAATTATATTTCCCTAGAATCAGAAAGTCGGTATTTTCAGAAGCACCGAGGAATGAGTATGTTGCAGTTTTTAGTCTCTAAGTGAAAATTTGTGGTGTTTGTAAATGTTAAGCCTTTATTGCTTTTTACCCTTTAACGTAGTTTTTATTGAAGCTGGTTTCAAAGGAAGGGACATTATTCTGAGGAGAGGAGTAAGCTCCACAGGCAAGGTAGAAATGCCTTGGAACACAGCCTCAGGAGTCTCTGCTTTTGGATGCAGCTCCATGGAAGGCAACATGCAGGAGAACATCCAGGTCTGTGAGGAAAGTGCAGTGCTTTTTAAATATCTTATATTGAAATTCTATTTTTGGGCTAATGTTTCGTCAGATATTTTAGATGTTGCTTCAAAGAATTTAGCTCAATCTTGGGGAAATCACAGATTTAAAAGGATAATTCCTAATGTAAATGACCAATCCCTACTAGCAAATCTATCTCCTAAAATAGATA